TTATTTATATAATGCAATAACTCATTTGATTGGTTAATTTCGTTGCATTATGTTGATCCCACACGTGGGTATTAACCAGTTTTTTTGAAAAAAAATTTTTGCTGTGCGCACTGTACAAAAAAATCATTAAAATAAACAATGTGCGAATATCGCACATTGTTTTATTAATAAAAATATAAGCTATATCGATATACACATCCTAGATCCAAAACTTTATTACACTGGAAATTTAATTTCACCAATAAGTCATAACAGCAATAACTGTAACCAAAGATGTTGGTAAAATAAAATTACAATAGAGTGATGAAAATAATTTCATCATAATTGGTGAAATTAAATTTCCAGTGTAATAAAGTTTTGGATCATAGTGATACAAGATGTGACAGATGTAATAATAAATTCAATACTGTATAGCATAATAAACAAGCATATTGTAATTTATTTGTATGAAAAACTTAGGCATTGAAGAATTTGTATTTGTGAAAACTGGCATGTAAGTATATAGTATGCACTGCGAACAGAAGAAGTTTGTAATCACATTTAAGTATGATCCAGAAACATGAAGAGTTTGAGATAAATACGTCTGACAAATAATTTGTTATTTTTACGATGCATCATACGTTTTAAATAAGAATTTATATTACTGTATATAGAAAATTTATTATATTTTTGAATTTACTGTATATTATGTAACAAAGAACTGTACAACATACTTTCATTGTAGTGACCCATTCTGTCTGTGAAATTTCAAAATTTTCACTATTTTCCGTATAAATTACTGATAGAAATAAATAATTGAGAAATGTATTAACTAATGTTAATTGCTGAATATACAGTATGCTTATCTATAAAACTTTTCACACACTGTATATCGAATAATAAATATTGTTAGATTTATGTGAAGCGTTGCCTCATAATATTTAATAAAATTAGAGACGAAAATTGAAGCTTAAAAGTGCTGTGACAGATCATGGCGCAGCCACAGTATACCGATACAATTTATAGTGCCACTTATTGGTTCTCCTCAGACAATGATTTAAGATATATATTGTTTTTTATTGTAATTTAAGGTGACTGTGCCATAATACGTCACAGCACTTTTGGTTGATTCATTTTTTACAACTTATTAGGTAAAATATTATGTAGTTCGAGCAAATTATGAGATCATGTAGAATATACAGTAAATTTATCTATAAATTTTAATTTGATGCAGAAAATACTGTATATGAGTGCTGTCAATAGAAAACCTATCATCGGGCTTTCAATGTTCAGTTGGCAATCTATTCCGATGATAGATTGTCTATAGACAGCATGCAGAAAGCCGACTGAACATTGAAAGCCCGATGACCGGTTTTCTATTGACAGCACTCATATAATACTAACAAAAGTCGCCTGAATTTAGTATGTAGTTAAGAGTTTATATTATAAAAAAAACCTTAAAACAAATACAAGTTTTGTATTTACTATATAATAGACTAGAATTCTTCGTGAAAAAAATTTTTGATAGTGTGATGCATTACTACCAATCAGAATATGATATCAGGTATAACGTGATATTGTTTTGCATTCTGGTTGGTTAATTTTAAAAAATTAAAGATTTTAATAAATATCGACGTTACTAATTGAAAACTATAATCTACGTGGAATGTAGAATCTTAGATTCTCTGCCATCATTAGTGGTGTGAGCGCAATGCCGTAATTAGTCGTAATTTTTTGCAAATACTCAATTATATCGTGTTCCAGTGATCCAAATTGGATGGTTTTGGGCCACTCGAACCGTCTCGATGAGACAAATCGAATGATACCAAAGTCATCCAATTCGAATCACTGGATCGCAAGGTATTCACAAATAATGATTCAATGAATTACGGCAAACGTGCCATAATTCTGCCGTAATCGTAAATAGTTTTTCGAGAATATATTGCGATCCAGTGATTCGAATTGAATGATTTTGGTACCATTTGATTCGTCACATCGTGACGAATCGAATGATATCAAATTCATCCAATTTGGATTATTGAATCACGATATAATTGAGTTTTTGTAAAAAAAAATTACGACCAATTACGGCATTGCGCTCACACCATTAGCCATCATCATCATAACAGCATAATGAAGAATCATCTTTCTGCATAAAATTATAGTAACGCCCCTGAAAATTTTGATTAGCAATAACGTGATCATAATGCTATAGAATTTTTCAGGGGTTAAATCCAATATTCTCTTGGCGAGTAATATAATATGTATATATGAAAGATTAAGCTCCGGACTTTTTAATTATTTCTATATTTACCAATTGTATATAATACGTATAAAATAGTGCAAAAAAAAAGATAATATTTTTACATTTTTGTATTAATAAGCACGAGAATGTCCATAATTGTTCAAGAAAAAATTTTATTAGTGCGCAAAAGGCAGCTTTGTAGATAAAACTTTAAGCTGTTAATGATTTATTGATTTCGTATACTGTAGAACAGTTTTGCAAAGTAGCTATACAACATTAAATAATTATGTCGCGATGAATTAATTCTAATTCCTATCCCGTGTGGGTACTGAAAAAATTTTAACTAGTTAGATTATAACGATAAACTTGCAGTTACGTCTATCTGCTATTTGAATATTAGGATTTTAATAGCTGCGCATAAATTCTTTCGATTGACTATAATTCTTCTAACGCTAAGCATCAACATATCGATGTATTAGTGCCCGGATTGGAATTTTACTGGCCGGATGAGAATATTGTAATTTTTACAACTAAAATTATTATATCCCTAACCTTAAAGTCCCAATTCTCGGGACGATTCCAATTTGGGGTACGACATAACTATTTAAAGTAATCGTTTTTATTTTTAATCTGGGATATCAATATGTGTTCTTTATTCAAGACAAAATTTTAATGATATATTGGTAATAATAATATCCTGATCCGTTGGGTATTATTAATTAATACTCCCGTGATCTTGAATAGTGATCGGGGTATTAATATATTAATAAACATGGAAGAAAATCTATTTTCCAACCGACAATGGCTCATGAAGATTTTGTTGACAGGGACCGACAACCCCGGCAGAATATTGAATATTTGATATTTTGTAGGCAGGCGGAGCGTATGACAATCGATAGCCAATTGATTCCCATAAAGAACTTTAAATACTCAAAATTTTGTAAACGCGTTTAGAAAAAAAAAAATCTCTAATACATACATACATATCAAACCTTTTTTTTTTTTTTTGAATAACGATAAACGTACGTACGTAATTAAATAATTAAATTCTGAAATCTGGAAATTGTAAAACAATCACATTGCCACGTGATACTTGATTTTGAATTCATACATACCGGAACTGTACGTAAATACAATTCTTTAGAGTTTAAAATTCGTTTGTATGACAATCTACAATGTTAGAGACCAAAAAAACTGATCTTTTTACACGACTCAAGGCATATGTCGATGACGAAACAGCAGAACGTGGCTATGTTTACTCGGTAGGTATAATAACCTTAGAAGGTTTAAATTCTGCCAGATACAAAAATTTTAAGCATTTCTTCAACGGAGGCGAATATAACCTTCGCCCCAGCGTATTGTGGTTACTTCGACATATACGAAGTAAATCAACAAACCAAGATATGTTTAAAATTCACTGATTCACTAGATCGGTGAAGTTTGGAATTTTTGTTGTAAATATTTTAAAAAATGTGCAAAATCCTTTAAACACTTCTTTGGCTACTTTCATAAATCTTCTTTACGTCACGCCATTAACCAGAAATTCAAAAGTTTGAATATAATACATCCTTTTATCTATTTTTTGTTATATACATTATAGCATCAAAAGGTCGATGTTCAGATTGATATGTTAAATCAAATAATCAAGGTATTTTTTGTTCACAAATCTAATTTGTTTAAAAATGTTATCAAATTATTAAACTTAATATTCTCTTATATATAGGGATACACAGAGATTAGTATTAAGCCACTTAGATTTGATGTTGATGTTATAAGATTACATTGTCGGCAATGTCGTAGGTGTTTTTAAGGTGCATCTATAATAATTGAAAATGATCAAATAAAAATAACATTAAAATTTTTAATTATTTCAGGTATTAGCAGTATAAAGATTAATGATTTTTTAGCTGAATTTGAGATTAATGAATCTGAAGATGCTGGGATTGTGGGTGAGATATCTGTGTATCTCCCTGATGAAATAACAGACATTCCTATAATAAATGGTGTGAGTAAGGCTTCTGATTAA